GAGTATGACTCTTCATATTTCTTGCTATGTCAGTCAAAGTGTGAAGTCTTTAACCTTGGGTAAACCTTGGATACGCTGAAAATCTTTGAAAAATGTGGTAATTTTTGGTACTTTTTGTTTTCGCAAGCCCCAAACAGATAGAACCGTTGACAACCTGGAATTATCATTCATTCCATCCTGGATTTCCACTGATCTGTCTTCCTGGGAGTTACTGTACTCTCTTGCAGCGGGCATACGTACTGACCAGCCCAACTCATTATTGCAGGGTAGTAAGATACATGTACCAAGCCAGTGACTTCCAGAATAAGTCTGATTCTCAATGCATTCGGAAACCACCAAAATCCATTTGGTGATCTTAAACTAACCATTGGAAACTCCAACATTTTCCAACAGAAGATCCCAACAAAACCCTTTTTTCATCCCCATTTCAGTGGTTCAATCAGTTCAACCCCCCACGTTTCATGGCGAAGTCCAAATTTTTGTTGCCACCCAAAAAAATAGCCGGCGGAGCCGAACGTTTGAGCCTTGCAGAAAAATGGCCCCTTTGAAGCACTTTATAAATGGGATTATAATCTCATTGAAGTGATATATCACCTAGAAATGGTATTGTAACTGGTTTATTCCCCACCTGCCAGGTGAGGGTTGTTAGATTTTATGTCAGTTGCCTCCTCGTCCTCCTCCTTCTCCTCCTCCTCCTTCTCCTCCTCCGCCTCCTCCTGCCTCGTCCTCCTCTCCTCCTCCTCCTCGTCCTCCTCGTCGTCCTCGTCGTCCTCGTCGTCCTTGCTCAACTGCGACCTGCGATCCACAGTGTTCTCTGCCGGGCCTCAACCACGACCATCCACGCCCAGTGTTCCCTGCCGGACCTCAACCACGACCATCCACGCCCAGTGTTCCCTGCCGGACCTCAACCACGACCATCCCCGCCCAGTGTTCCCTGCCGGACCTCAACCACGACCATCCACGCCCATTGTTCCCTGCCGGACCTCAACCGCGAGTATCCACGCCAAGTGTTCCCTGCCGGACCTCATGTAGGAAGATATGGGACAAAGAATGTGCAGAAGAAAGTTAGAAAGAATGTCAGAAAGAATGTCAAAGATATGCCAGAAGATATGCCAGAAGATATGCCAGATAGAATGCCAGATAATATGCCAGAAGATATGCCAGATAGAATGCCAGATAGAATGCCAGAAGATTTGCCAGATAGAATGCCAGAAAATATGCCAGAAGATATGCCAGATAGATATGTCAGAAGATATGCCAGAAGATATGCCAGAAGATATGCCAGAAGATATGTCAGAATATATGCCAGAAGATATGTCAGATAGAATGCCAGAAGATATGACAGAATATATGCCAGAAGATATGCCAGATAGAATGCCAGATTGAATGCCAGAAGATATGTCAGATAGAATAGAATGCCAGAAGATTTGCCAGATAGAATGCCAGAAGATATGCCAGATAGAAATGCCAGATCATATGCCAGAAGATATGCCAGATAGAATGCCAAATAGAATGTCAGAAGATATGTCAGATAGAATGCCAGAAGATTTGCCAGTAAGAAAATGTATAAATGTCATGGTGGGGATCACACGAAGTAAAGTAATTATGTTTATTTCATGTTATAAACTAGTTGCAGGAGTTATGTCCACCCATAGCCATATCTGGTTGGCCATAACTCTGTGCAGGTGTACAGGAGAAGGGCTAATTCGTCTCAGTTTGCCTCCGGCTCTCATCGCCGCGCCCCTGAAGCTGCAAACTTAGTGGGTTGAGCTGAGTTGAGTTTGAAGCTTGGAGGCGATCTTTTGGCAAGAGCCTTCAAAAAGCAAACAAGTAGCATAGTCCTTATATAGGCCTTACATATGGTAGGTACCTCCAATTTAGGTTCCTGAAATCCACATTGAAATATTGAAATGAAACTTGAATGAAATTGAGTTGAAGCCATGAAATAGATCATTGGTGTTGCCACCTTTTTTCACAATATGTAAACTCTAGTTGGTTGCGGGTTATTTTGTGTGATTACTTGTTTGCCTATTTGCCATTCTAGTGGATTGATGTGCCATTTTGACATCAACTGGTTGCGGGTTTCTGTTGTTTTCAAGGTATTTGAGCAAATCATAACTACCTCCATGTGTCCTCACCATGGACTCGGTCATTCGACTGGATGGGTAGAAACGAATCCTGAATAGTCTTTTGGTATGGGATTATCTACGTTCACCAACTAAGAATTTGTCATTTTTTGCCGAGTATCTGGCTGATTGACCATGTTAAAGGATTGCTGGTAAGGGAACCATAATACTTGTTGCAGACTCGTAGAGTAGTTCAATTTGCCCTGTCAACATTTCTTTCCGCAAAATTGAGCAATGGAAATGGGGTTCTGGGTTGAAAGTTACAATTTTAATAATCCCTATACCCTGATATTCAATCCCCCCAGACAGAACCCTGCTTTAGTTTGGATCTATTTCATATTGGGGGGTCTATCTGGGGTCAACATTATTGGGATTGGAGTACCAATCATGACGCGACCGAATTATCCTGGATGGTGGTTTGGAACAAGATTTATTTGTTCATATATTGGGAATAACAATCCCAACTCACTTTCATATTTTTCAGAGGGTTTCAAACCACCAACCAGTATCAATTATGATTTAGAGATGGCCAACCGCAATATTATTTAAGTTGACGCGTCAATAATAATTATCCTTTGGCAAATAAACATAGACCCTGAACATAACCATTTTTTAATGGAAACTAATCTTCCAACCCCTATCTGGCAGGGTCTATGTTAATTTACTGGAGGGTACCAAAATCTTGCTACACAAGGACATAACCACAAAGTCTGCCGCAACATACCTGGAACTTACCTCCTGGTGGGTTGGTAGCTTCAACCAGCTTTGGAGAGAGACATGTCAAGGAATGATCTTCACAAGTGGATCGAGCTCGTTGCATGCCATACGCATTTCAGGAAAACTTTATTTTCGATGAGTAGAAAGACAGCATCAACACATACAAACATGTATATGACCATTTGCCAAAAAATGTTGACAGAAGTTTTGTACCATGTTGTTGATACCCACTACTTCCAAGCACAAAGTTAAACGTTGTCGTCCAAGTAAAACCATGACTTTACTTAAAAACACTCATTGACTGCTGATATATATAATATAAATATATATATATAGTCAAAAAAGGGTGACCTTTCCCCTGAGCCTAATCGAATCCGTAAATCAATCCTCAAAATTCTGAACAAAAATATGTGGTTTCCATGCTCAAGTTTTTGATTGGTTTTCACGGGTTTTTCACTGTCTTTTCACGGGTTTTTCACGGTCGTTTCACGCACTTTTCACGCTCTTGGTTTGGAGTGGGATTTGTTTGAAACTCTGGAGTCCGGTATATATTTATACTAGTACTCATTGGGTCTGATAATGCCCAGTAAACACATGTCGCTTCCAAAGACAAAGTTAAACTTTGTCGTTGTGAAAGCCCCAGTTAAACTTTGTCGAAGACTGAGTGGGATAATTAGTGTGGACCTAGTGGTTGTTCCTCTTTGTTGTGAGGCGGCACGTAACTAATTTCACCAATTCTGCAAGGCAGCGCTAGCAAACCCGCTAGGTTTGCGCTAGTTTTGATTCACACCCATGTTCAAGGATATTTGTTTGTATTCCTGTTTGTTTGCTATTTCAACATGAAGAGAAGTCAAGATGTAACACTTACCCTTTGGTTATTTATATAACATGGCCATGGAAAGTCACCATTTTTAGTAGGTAAACCTCTATTTTCATGGGCCGTTTCCCATGGCAAACTGTTAAATAACCAAATGGTAGTGATTTTCTGTGCTCTAGCCCAGCATGTTTTAATCACCAAGAACCACAGCTCAGCCCTTGGCATCCTTGGCGCCCGCTCTCTCAGACGGCCGGCTTTGATTGTTTTTGCTGAGGTCGTCCACGTTGATTCGCCCTCGGAAATCCTACCCGGAAAGTATCGGATTGGCAGTAAAATATCTTATTATTGGGATATAATGGGATATATATGTTATATGGCCATGAAAAAAAGTATCTTCTGGTATGATATGTAAACAATGGCAATTGTTGATGGGTTATAGGGGGGATTATCGGATTTTAACTATTAAAGATATGTTGATATATACTGGTTGGTGGTTTCAAACATGTTTTCCATAATATATGGGATGTCATCCTTCCCATTGACTTTCTTATTTTTTAGAGGGGTAGGTATACCACCAACCAGGATATGTAAATACTTATTTCAAGGGTTTTCCCACTTTGCTATCTGGGGTTGCTATTATACAATAAATATATAAAATTATATATATTATATATATATTATAATTATATATATATTATAATTATATACATATACTGGTTGGTGGATTGGAACATTTTTATTTTTCCATATATTGGGAACAATAATCGCAGCTGACTAATATTTTTCAAACGGCATCGAGGGTCCATGGGGGGCACAGTCCAGTGACTTGTCTTTCTTCGTCTGTTCTGGCTTTCTCCTAGTCAACTTGTTCTTTCCTATCCCGCGGTTCTGTCCCATGTCCGCGTCTCTTTACCCCCTGTGGGTTCCTAGCCCTCGGTTCACCGGCATCGAGGGTCCACAGGGGGGCAAAAGCCCGGTTCTTGTCGTTACTTTTCCGCGTCCTTTCTTTCCACAGCTCACTTTCCTCACCTTGTCTTTCTTTTGTCACGCCCTGTTTGTCCTCCAGGTTGTCTTCCTACAGTCCTACACTCTGTCTCTTGGCACGGCGTCTCATCCGGTGCTTTTCTGGCTCAACAGCAAGAGAAAGAAAGACCGAAACCAAACAGAAAGAACACACAACTTAAAACCACAGGAAGCAAAGCCTAGAACGAAACTAAAGTAAGGAAACAAAACATCACACACACACACATTCAAGCACGCGCAAAAACCACAGGCAACACACGCCTCTGCGCCTTGGTCCAATGGAGCGGTGGAACCTTCTGCCCACGTTCCGGACCAAGGCGCAGAGGGAAAAGGCTGCCAAAGAAAAAGCCGAAAAGACAAAACAAGAAGAAAAAGAGGAAAAAAAAGAAGAAGAAGAAAAGAAGAAAAAGGAAGAAAATGAGAACCAGAAAAACGAGAGAGCTCGAAACGACAGAGAGCAACAGAGCGCTAGACACAGAAGAAAGAGAGAGCAGAAGAAGAAGACCGGCACAGCCAAAAAAAGACTGCTGGGCGCGCGTGGACCGCGGTCTCTGAGGCGCCCAGTGCCGAGGGGAGCGGAAGGAAAAAAAAAAGTAGAACGGGGATTGAGGGGAGTTTATGTTAGTATGTTGGTTGTTACGTTTTTGTGTTTCTTATAAACATCCCCGCTTGGTGCCCCTGGATGAGATCCAGGGGCTTTATCCAATTTTTTTATCCAGGTCCCATGTGTTCACCTTGTGCCCAAATTTTATCCCAGCAGATGTCTGTAGCTGAAATTGCTTCTGGGCCATGAATTTCATCCAGATGCAACAATATATCTTTTTGTTTTTACTTGACCTCAAACTTTGGATTTTAGCCGGGGCCCATCTTTGCAAATTCAAAGGTGCTCATACCTCAAGGCTTTGGATTTCATACACTGTGTTCACGGTTTATCGAACATTTGATGGAACGTCAGACCATGGAAATTCATCCACCAAGCCTGTGGCATACCAAAAACTCATGAATCTCATGACGAACATGAGGTGTTTTGGCTGTTCGTTGGTAGGCAAGGGAGGGTTGGAATTGAACACTTGTGATGGCCGACTAACAGCTATTTGGCTTCAAGGGATTTCAGCTTGCGGCTTCAGCCCAATGGAAAATTTCGAAATTTGGATCGAGACGAGGGGCGGCACTAACGAAACGTATGTGCTGTCTCTGACTGACCCTCGTCTACTATAATTGTTTCTGATGTTTTGCTTTGGTGTCCTGATTGACATAACTGCTGACCACGAGTATTTTGTCGACGAAAGTTGCGACTTTGGTGAACTAGTTTGTTAAAATTCAACATTCAATTGATGTCAATAGTGTCAATTGTAAAATCACCAGGATGCATTGTGAGGCAGAGGGGAGGAGATCAGGACGCATTTGCAGCAGAAATCTGCATGCAGAGGTGGAAGCACTCAGAGGGCGATGCATAGCTGCTTGTGCAGATCAAATGCTGAGCCTCCAAGAGTTGAAGGAGATGTGCAAGCGCAAACAGGCGAGGTGTTGGCCAACAGATGACAGATGACACAGGATTTCGAAACATGATTTGTTCTCTGTCAGGTTGCGCCTGAGCCCTCTCAGATCCCTGAGGCTGGTCAGCCTCCTCAGGCTGATCAGCCTGAATTGGCTCCCTGTGAGATCCGTGAGGCTCGGCAAACTTGAGAAGACTCTTTTCTTGGATAATTTGGATATCTTGGGTTTTTTTGGGGGATGATGATGTTGATGTGTTGATGCTGGAGGCTGCCGTGTGCAGCACCGAAGAGATTCCGAATGGACATGCAGCGCCTGGGAAAGGCGTTGAGGCCTTGTGAATCCGAGTGGTTGGTCTGGTTGGGGTGCATGAAGTGGCTGCCAAGCGGTTTATGATGTTGAAGGGTGACATGGGGTGTAAGATGACTGAAGAGAAGAGTTTAAAGATTGACAAACAGTGAGAGGTCTGAGATGGTGAAAACAGGTGTTGTTTCGATCTCAAGACACTCATTGTTGTTGATTTTGATGGGTCGTCCAGGACGAAAACCCATGCGATGGGGTTTGGCGGATCTTTCCTTGGGGTTGTGCACAGGGTAGCCTCTTCACTTCGATCATGTGCAGCAGTGAGATGAAATCCACAGGTGTAAGGTCAGTAGACTTATATGTAAATTTCTTAGCTCGGGTCATGAGATGAACATGAGACTCCAGCATGTGCTGCCGCTGTTCATTTCCCTTGCCAGGTGTCCAAAGAACAAGATCATCAAGATCCAAAGGAACCAGTGACAGCCAGAAGCAACGGACAGTAGGTGTTTTTTATTTATAAAATCCATCAACTGGGAGGGAGCGACACGCTCTATGGTGCGGAAGTTTCAAAAGCACATCTCTCAGTTGATGGTGGCGGATTTCAAACAAAGCATGTCGGGTTCGTGGGTTCTATGGTTAAACAATTCTTATTGTCCGTTCTCCACTTTCTTTCCGTTCTCGCATTTGTGTAGTGAAGGGTTCATAAAAAGGTGGCAGTGGATCATGAGGGGAGCGAAAGGCGAAATAAGCAGACCCTCACATTCACTGTCATCTTTGTAAATCTAGATTTTTTTAAAGCACCGCATCAACCGCCAACTTCAACCATCAACGACGTGGTTGAAGGTCCCAGCAACGACAAGCAATGACAACACTGACATCAAATTTACGAGACCAAAAAAATATGAGACCCTCCCTCACCTGACATAAAATTTAGGAGACCTTCAACCAACACCCCATAAACAATCTTGCAGCAGAGGCTGCCACAGGGTTGTTCAAGCAGCTTTGGCATATGCCCGAATGACAATTAAGCGGTGAAGTGCATGCACGGGCTGAAAACATGAGACTGAGATTCATGAAAATTAAATGGTGACATTCTTGCACAGGCTGAAAACATGAGACTGAGATTCATGAATATTAAATGTGACATTCTTGCATAGGATGAAAACCTGGGGCCTGAGCTTCATGAAAATGAAATAGTGAAGTGCTTGCACAGGATGAAAACCAGGGGCCTGAGTTTCATGAAAATGAAATAGTGAAGTTCTTGCACAGGATGAAAGCCTGGAGCCTGAGTTTTATGAGTGCCACTCTGGGATACCAGAAACGTTCCGCAAAGGTTTTCATTGGTCGCAGTTTGTACCTCATACACCATTTTTATTGAAGGATTTTAGCCCCAACTGGGGGCTAAAAACCAGGTTGCCTGTCTAGAATGCTACAGCAACGGGTATTTAGATGCTTATTTGGTTGATTCAATCTGGCAATGGACCATGAAATTTAGCTCGGGATCGGAGATTTTTGTGGATAAGATCCATGGGGTGAGGTTGTAAAGAATGTGGTTTATGATAACGTGTTCACAGGAACCCTCGACAACACTCCCCAATAGATGCAAAAGGGGTGGTTTGTTCAAGACTGCAGTGACTACAGCTGCTCGAGAACCTGGCTTTGAGTATGCGAGTCTTGTTTGCTGATAAAATCCACGAGATGAGGTTACTTTGAAGGATTTGAAAGATTTGGTGCAGAATGCCCAGCTTTTGTAACAAACTTGTTGTGGGATGAATTCCATTGGACAAGGGTTAGTTGCTGATGACAGATAGTAAGATATTTTCTTAGATGTTTATTTGGTTGATTCAATCTGGCAATGGACCATGAAAATTAGCTCGGGATCGGAGATTTTTGTGGATAAGATCCATGGGGTGAGGTTGTAAAGAATGTGGTTTATGTTTACCACATGAAGGGGTCAGTTATGGGTGAACCAGCTCAATGAGTGCTTTGCAGCCCAGGCGATACCCTCGAACTTTTCGAGATTTAAGCGAGGTGATCTGGTGATCAAACGAATTGAACCGGTTGCTGGAACTTGACCAGCAGCATCACTCGAGCCGCCCCCTCCTCACCAGCGATGGGCGCATCCGACTTCGCAACCCTTCGACAGGAACCACCGAAGTCGGGATCCAATGGTCAGAACTGCTGGAAAGAGCACCGCAGTACTTTTCGCTGCGATATGATCGTATCAGGGCCCGCGAGGAATATGGAAAGGCGGTTCATGGAGAGATTGCTAGAATCGCACGACAATTGGCAACACCACCGCACCTTAGGAATGTAACTTGACATGACCTGGCACGTTCTGGTCAGTGTGGCATCCGGAGGATGGTCATGTCAGTGGGTGAGGGGATAAGATCCTGCAGTCCAAGGTTTGGTTTTTTTCCCCAACAGCGTAAGAATAGCTCCGGTGTGCACTGGTGCAGGCGCCGGGTCAGGTTCAATGAGGTTCTGGAGAAGGTTCCGAAGGTTCCGGAGAAGGTGTGGGAGGCCTTGGTGCAAAGCCATTCAGTTTCAACAGGGTTCCGGAGAAGGTTCCGGAGAAGGTTCCGGTGAAGGTCTGGGCAGAGCCAGGTTAGGTTCAACAGGGTTCTGGAGAAGGTTCCGGTGAAGGTCTGGGATGCTTTGGTGCAAAGCCAGGGCAAGCCGGGTTATATAGGTTCAACAGGGTTCTGGAGAAGGTTCCGGTGAAGGTCTGGGAGGCTTCGGTGCAGCCGGTCAGGTTCAACAGGGTTCCGGAGAAGGTTCCGGAGAAGGTTCCAGGAAGCCTTGGTGCAAAGCCAGGTCAGGTTCAACGGGGTCCGGAGAAGGTTGCGGAGCAGGTCCCATTGGCGCAGAGCCAGGTTATATAGGTTCAACAGGGTTCTGGAGAAGGTTCCGGTGAAGGTCTGGGAGGCTTCGGTGCAGCCGGTCAGGTTCAACAGGGTTCCGGAGAAGGTTCCGGAGAAGGTTCCGGAGAAGGTTCCAGGAAGCCTTGGTGCAAAGCCAGGTCAGGTTCAACGGGGTCCGGAGAAGGTTGCGGAGCAGGTCCCGGAGAAGGTTTTGGGAATCTTTGGTGCAGGCCAGGTCAGGACAGGGTTTCCAGCGCTTGGCTTGGCAGCACGCTTCAGAAAGATTTCTAAAAATAAAACGTTGCGGCTCTTGGGGATACCACCGAAGATTATTTTCATTGTTTTGTCTTCTTAGTTTTGAAATTCCGGAGAGTGCTAGTACTTTTCCTTGTCTCCAATTTGCTCAAGGAATTCTTGCAGTTGGTGCGAGATATTCCCAGAGCAAGCGTGGACACGATTGAGCAGATTGCTGGTGCAGCTGCTTCGTCTGAAATGCCCGCAGGCAAGAAGGTCCCAACAAACAAATCTTAGGATTTGGAGAGTTTTGAGTTGATTAAGAGAGTCAACTGCAGTTTCTTTGTTTGCCGGCTGTCGGGTTGAAGAGGAGTGAAGAAGAAACCAATGTTTTGGCACTTCTTGTTTTGGTTCTCTGTTTGGAAACGTTTAACTTGGTAAACCTTGAGATCACTCAGACATGCGGATCCGACAGTCCTTGGGCTTGGGGGGAACAAGCCCTCTTGGTCAGAGATGTTAGAAAACCCCAATCGATCAACAAGATCGCAAAATTTGGTCTTGAGATGCTTGAGGGACGAGCATCTTTTTCTGTCTGGTGGACCGGGCAGAGATGGCAGAGACTTCAATCGATCAAGAAGATCGCGTGAGCAGGGAAAATGTC